TTGGAGACATTTAAAGCCATACATTCAGGAAGTTGCTGAATCGAGACCAGAAATCCATCTTTAGATTTTCCCCACAGTTAAGCAGGTAATAGAACAAATTGTATCTTTAGCCGTGCTTGGTCAAAAGGTGGGAGACCTCCTTAAATGGAGGGCATAACATTAAATCACAGTTTCAATACAGATAAGGTTTTGGGAAAAGAATAAGATAATATAGTCTAAAGGTCCCTTCTAAGCCCTAAAATTTCAAAATTTTGAAAGGGGTTTTTAAGGCTTAACTTGGCTTCAGGAGTTCTGGGAACCTTTTGAAATTGATGCAAAATTTCATGTATTTGTGTGTGTGTGTGTGTGTACAGACGTGCATTTTTCTGGAGGGAGGGTTCTTAGTGCTGTTATTCTAGGACGCTCCATGAGTACAAAAACATCAAGAAACAAATGGAAAATGAATTTAATCATACTAATTCATTTAATCAGAATAAACCAACAAGCATCTTGCTGAATACATTTTATGTGTTCAGATGAGCCCATAGATGAATAAGACACATTTTGAAGAAATGCTTAGTCAGCAAATCAAAGAACCAACAAGAGTGTGTTGTTTCTCCTGGAATGTGTTGAATTTGGTCAATGTCAGAAATTCTAGGTTCTAGTCCTACCTCTGGTACTTGACTCTTACTCTGATCTTCAGTTTCCTCAACCAAGAAATAGCTTTAATCAAATACACCTTGCTTCCTCCTTAGGGTTGTTCATGCAGTTGATAACAAATCATACATGGCCTTATATGTTTGGCATTGAGCTCGATACAAGGGATACAGCCACGAATGGCTCTGACAATGTGCTTCCGTAGAATATACAGACGAGTCGGTAAGTTACAGATTCAATTTTCCTGGGATAAACATATAGTGGGGTTGAGAAGTGGGAAATGAATACTGTTACTCAGTTCAGATCAGAACCTGAACAAAGTGATTCATTTCCCCTTCTTTTCTTCTTTAGATAGTCTGCTGAACCAAGGGAATAAAAAAGCATTTAGGCAAACTATGTGAATACTATGCTTCCAGAATACAGAGAGAAGAGAAGACAAAAATGGTAATTGTAGCATTTCTGAAAAACAGAACTCTGTGAGTTTTACATATTGATCTCTGGGCTTTTGGAGATGTTCTGAGGCGGGCTCCCTGCAGACTGCTAGAAATTGAATAGGACTGAGAGCACATGCTCAGACTTCTCATTCAAGATTATAGACTGAGGATGGGGAAAATGCCTTTATTTCAAAAGCACATAGAAATAATAAAAATATTTTTTAAATATTCACAGTCACATAGCATTAATAAAAAAGAAAAGAAAGGGAAAAAATGTCAAATGATGTTAACAGTATGCTAGAGGAAGCTAGAGAAATCTTAGCCGCATCAGATGCCAGGACACAATGGAAGAACAGCCTCAGAGTGTTGAGATTACGTACCTTTCAACCTGAAATTCTTCTTCTAGACCAGGTAAGTGTGGGTGGAGGAGCAATCTATTTTATCAAACTTTCTAGGTGATTCCGAGGTGCACTAAGGTTTGAGAACCACAAGACTCGTGCATTTTTCTTGATAGACACTCAGGAGAGGGCACCCCCATTCTGAATGGCACACTGGTAACTCCTTTCCTCCTGCAAATGCCCAGAACTTAGCTTTTGCCCAATTTTGCCAACACCCAGAGTAGGTTATACAACAGGGACAATATCTTAACCAAAATGAATGAAATTGCAGTGGGGTTGAGTTTCAGATCCTCACAGGGCAGGGTCAGTGGGCAGGAGGGGTGGGGCCGAGACATGGGGGCTGGGCCCTGGGTGGCTTCCAGCAGCCAACACACAGCATAGGGTGTTGCCAACTTGTGGAGCACGTCTGGTCCATGGGAAAGTCAGTCATTCCTTGTCTTCCCTCAGCCTCAGTCCTGTAAGAGCAGACATTCCTCTGTCTGAGTGTGTCTGCCTATGTTGCTTGAATGGAGTTTGCAATCAACTAATAGGAAGACTTCAAGACCCACCTGCTTTGTTTTTCAAAGGGTTCGTTTTCAGCCTCTCCAGGGGATGCTCTGCAGAAGCTCTTTAGAGATCTTTTCTCTCTATTAATTTGAGTGTTTACTATCTGGCATTTCTAGGTCTCAGTCCAGTTTCCTGACTGAAGGGATTTTTGTCATTTTTAAAGTGTTTATTTTTCTCTTTGGGTAAAAGGAAAGAAAAATATGAGCTTCTCTCTGTGGCCAGCAGAGAAGTGATTGGGACCTTTGTTTTTTCATCATGGCAGACCTGTCTCATTATGGCCCCATTACGGTCTCAGAGCCCAGAACTAGGAGGGTGGGTGGGAGGTGGTCTGGAGCCTGCAGTCTCACTGTCCATTCTCTCTCTCAGATGCAATCCCAGGTTAGAAACTGCTTGAATCATCTTTGGGTCTCCAGCTTCAAGCATAGAGGTGATGGAGGTATCTAGGAAATGCTTTGGGGATAAATGAATAGATAGTAAATGAATGAATATACTTCCTTATTTTCTAGTTGAATTGGTTTCTATGTTTCCTGGCACCCCAGGCGAAGAGGTCAATCCCCTGATACATAGTTGCAAATCTTTGGACAGTATCCTGCAGTGTACAGAGCACTTCCACCCTCACTGTTTTTGATCCAGGCCCCAGGGGCACTCTGAAACTTGGGGGATGTGCCTCCCAGCTTCATTCTTTGGATGAAGAACCTGCGTCTTGGAGACATTTAAAGCCATACATTCAGGAAGTTGCTGAATCGAGACCAGAAATCCATCTTTAGATTTTCCCCACAGTTAAGCAGGTAATAGAACAAATTGTATCTTTAGCCGTGCTTGGTCAAAAGGTGGGAGACCTCCTTAAATGGAGGGCATAACATTAAATCACAGTTTCAATACAGATAAGGTTTTGGGAAAAGAATAAGATAATATAGTCTATGTTTGGGAGAATGTGGAGAAATGCTCATCATTGAGTATGACTGAGAAGGGGAAAGTAATGAAACAGATACTTCTAAAAATGTTCATACTACCATTGGATAGTCTAAAGGTCACCCAGGGTAAATTTGGAACACATTTTTCCTTTCCTTACTCATTGCTCAGTGCTAGTTCATAAATACAGCTTTGCCTCTCAAAATATACCCCACCCAGGGCACAGGAGAAAAGGATCAAAGGATCACATTTTTTAAATGGTTTTATTATTTTAATTATTGGTCTTCTCTTTTCATTCCTATTGTTTAATTATAAGTTAGTTCTTTTACTGATTACCATGTGACAGATGCTTATTGTCGAAGCTTGAGGAAGCTATAGGGTGACTAATTTGTCCGGATGTGCCAGGGACTTCCTGGTTTTCGCATTCAAAGTCCCACATCACGGGAACGCTTCAGTCCCAGGCAAACCAGGATGGTGGGTTAACTCTATGTCTTCCTCCCATCCCATTAGCAGAAGGGAAGAGCACTTTCTTACCCAGTGGAGGGCTGGTGAGAGGCTGGCACTCAGCAGCCCCACTGCTCTGTTGGGCAAGGTTGCTGTGCTCGTCACCCCTCCTTCATGGCAGGACTCTTGCTTCTTTTGGATCTGTGCCCTGGCACAGTGAGCCTCATGATCTCACGCTTCTCCAGATTACTTAGCATCACCTAAAGCAAAAAGGCAAAGCAGTGGATTGGCTATAAGTTTTTCCACTCTTCTGGCCCATTTACCTTCCATGCAGGGCAGGGAGGAATGGTTTCCTGGAAAGCATGACCTTAAGCAACTTATGAGGACCTCGCTGCTACCAGTAACTCATCCTCTGGTCCCCGTTGGGCCCCTGGTGTCTCTTGTCAGCTGGTTACAGCCTGAAGGGAAGGGGAATAAGGAATCTGAGTCCCAGTCCCCAATGCACCTGGGCAGACCCTTGAAAGTAGTGGGAAGACTAAGGTTTTTTGTGTGGCGCTAGGATGGGCTTTTAGCATAATTTGGTTCATTGTGTTATTGCTACAGCTGGTTCCTGAGCATGAACTGGGTGCTTGTTACATTGTGAAATGGGAAGCATGAGAAAGATTTTTCTCTGTAGGGAAAGCGAATTGGAAAAATCAGTGAATTGGGTTAATAACATTATTCTTGCATTCGTTTGGTGAGTTTCTGCGGGTGGGGTATGACTCGAGCTCTGGCTCTGGCTCAGTGTAGCCCAAATCAAGACCGAAGAAAGGTGAGATCTCTAGTCCCAGCCTTGGTAATTGTGAAGCAGGTGTGTCAGCCTTATCATCACCCCCTACTGCCCCTCTTGTGCATCTTCCCTGTACCCCATTCTTTATCTAAACACCAAGCACCATCTTTTGAGGAACTTTCATGTCTGAACAACTCTTCCCATCAAAACTGACTTCTCCCTGAAAGTTGTTTACAAAACTAACCATACTCTTACTGTATGATCCAGCAATTGTGTTCTTTGTATTTACCTAAAGGAGTTGAAAACTTATGTTCACACAAAAACCTACACACAAATGTTTATAGCAGTTTTATTTGTAATTGCCAAAACTTGGAAGCAACCAAGATGTTCTTTAGTAGGTGAACTGATAAATAAACTATGGTTTTAGTCCCAGGCAAACCAGGATGGTGGGTTAGCTCTAAATAAATAAATAGTTTTATAAATAAAACTATGGTTTATTTATACAGATAAGGGAGTATCATTCAATGCTAAACAGATATGAGCTATCAAGCCATGAAAAGACATGGAGGAAACTTAAATGCATGTTACTAAGTGAAAGAAGCCAATCTGTAAAGACTACATAGTAATGCATGATTCCAGCAGTATGACATTCCAGAAAAAGCAAAACTATGGAAACAGGAAAAAGAGCAGTGGTTTCCTGAGATTAATGGGGAAGAAGGGATGAATAGGCGGAGCACAGAGGATTTTTAGAGCAGTTAAATTATTCTGTATGATACCATAATCATGGATACATGCCGTTATATATTGTCCAAACCCCTAGAATGTACAACACGAGGAATAAACCTTACGGTGAACAATGGACTTGGAGTGATAATGACATGCCAACTGAAGGGTCATTGGCTGTAATAAATGTGGTGAGTGGGTGTTGACAGTGGGGGAGGCTGTACATGCGTGGAGTCAGGGGTATATAGGACTCACCTTACTTTCCACTCAATTTTACTTGAATCTAAAACTGCTTTAAAAAATAAAAGTCTGTAACAAACACACAGAACTGACCCATCCTTAAGTCCCATCCCTCAGGGCTGTGGCACAAAGGCAAGGGTGACAAGAACCCTGGCATCTGGGCCGTCTCAGTGTCCTGACATCCTCTTCTGCTGCACCCTTCATCCCCGCCCTCCCCTGAGACCCGCGGCACTGACCTCTGAGTGGGAGTGTCTCTGGATTCTGACACTCACCCTACACTGGGGCCCTTCATCCTCTTCCTGGTCTTCCCAGATTCCATCCTCTCATCTCCTCCCACGTCTGGGAACCCTTCAGATCCAGGGTCTAGCTGGATGCTCTTCCTGCCTTGGGTTTCAGCGTCTACCAAAATGTCTATGGGTCATTTTTCTCACCCCACACATTCCGGTTACTGCCCGAGCAACAAGTGTCCTGGACGACCAAGTCCAGCGACCCCTGGCTCCAGAGAGTCCGGCAGAAGCCCTTCCCTGGCAGCCTGCTCAGCCTGCCTGTCCTCAGAGCAGACCGAGGAATTCACTTGGTTCCCAAGGCAACCATCCCCGGGTCCTTCTGGTTTTCACATTCAAAGTCCCATGGAAGCCACCGAGGGATGACAGAGCAGTAAGTTTGTCAGCTCTTTCCTCCCCCTGGGGGTGGTGCAGGTTGAGAGATGGGCCCCAAAGGGAGGGCAGATAGGGAGCCAGCACATGAGATCAAGTAACACCTGTCATTATTCTTTGCCTTTCTCCAGAGCAGAAAGCAGTTTCACACCCAGAGTCTATGCTCACACCCAAGTCCAGCAGGAGGGACAACATGGCCAGTCCTGTGGCAAGACGGCAATGCCAGTGAAAGAGCATCAGTTTGAAAGCCCAGTGGTTCAGGATTCAAATTCTGGCTGAGCTATTCCCTGGCTGAGTAATACCCTTGGTCAGTTACTAAGTGTCTCATCTCTAAATTTGGAAAAATGACTTCCTCACAGGCTTAAGAAGAGTAAATTGTATAATGTATTAATGACCCCTAATAGAGTGTGTGGTCCATTAAATAATAGCTGTTACTATTATTTTTCAGAGAAAGAAACTGAATCTTTAAGAGGTGAAATAACTTGTCCAAGGTTGCAAAGCTGATTGGCAGCTAAGCTGGAACTCAAATCATTTTCTACTGATGTCTTACATTGGAAGGAAGGAAGGGAGGGAGAGAGGGCAATGAAGACATGTGATTTTTAAACGCCTAAAAATAGCTATCAGTTTTCAGAAGATTATCATGCAAGACCTAAGCTTTAATATACTTTATTGAACACTCAAACTGTGCCAAGAATTTGACCGTATCACATTTATCTTCGTGGCTGGCCTACAAGTTTGGGATGATTATTCTGTCTCACATTTCAGAAGGAAGGTAAGTGTTTGAGTCGGGAGTTAGATCAGGTTTCTGGGATGTTAATGCACAGGCTTGTTCTAACTACCTGCTGCATGGCTTATGCTCAGGCACAGGATTTAGTCCCTGCAGCGATTAGGATACAAAGCAGCAAAATGAGACTAAACCTGAGAGGCAACCGAAACCTAGTCCTGCGGTGGAGCCAGGAGGCCTGGGCAAGAGGAAAGAGCTGCTTTGGAAGGACTTGCCTGTATGGAGGACATACTCTTGACCTCCCACCTTCCTGTTTGCTAGTTCTTTACTCATTATTCTTTCTGGAATCTCTGGTCACAAGACCCAGGCCAGGAGAAACTGCCAAGACATGCCTGCCACGGCTGGGGCCCCACTCTCAGACTCAGTCTGATGAAGGGGATTTGAGGTGAAGCCCCGCCAGATGGTTTCAAGATGCTATTTGCTCCTTGGTTTAGTTGGGCTGCTCAGATTTCACTGTTGCCACCCTCCCTTATTTTTTCCGAAAGCAACGTTTCCCCATTGAGAATGATATATGCAACAAGGGGGTGGTGGTGGCATATGGGGGGAATTGAATGGTCAGTTGCCACTTGTTTTGCATATTCATTTGCAGAAGAAAGAACTGTAGAGCTGTGACAAAATAGGGGCACTGCAGCCAGAGAATACCATGTGGGAACTTTGATTCCACCACACTTACTAGCTGGGTGACTTTGTAGACTTACGTAGCCTCTGTTACCATCTATACAATAGCCATAATCAGGGAAGGGGGCTGAAGCCAGTGGTTCCACTGTGGTAGGGCACGGACACGGGACAGGCATCACGATTAATATTTCCTGCCTTGATGAAGAATGCCGAGATATAAACAGTAAAGTAAGAACAGTAGGGACTCCATCTTAAGGCTAATATTCCATTTTAAAAACCAAGGAGTTAGGAGATAAGATTTCTCACATACTCTTTGATAATCAGCCAACAACCGACCCTATCTTAAGGCAGGGAAAGTAGTCCTAACTGATATGTTCCCGGTGCTTGAGGGTAGCCACTATCTTGGAGAAGAACAGGATGAATATATTCCTTGTGTTAAGTTTATTTTACAGAATTATTCAGAAGACGGACTGTGGATAATGTTGTAATATCTTTCAGCAGAGAGAGACATCTTGAGACCACAAGTCAAGCCTATGCCCAATAGCCCTTTGCCCCATTTTTGAAAGCCTTAAAAAATAGAATCCTAAACCCTTAAGTGTGCCTCTTCTGTGAGGTTGCCTACACTCCCCTTTCTTCAAGTGTGTACTTTTAAATAAAGCCTTCTTACTGTTCAACTTATTACATTTTGTCTCTGCATTCTTCCAGTGGTAAGTGACTTTGTTACTTTGCCGTGTCATTGTATTTTCTAGACTTGAGTACAAGTCTTCACTGTGTTCCACTCCAGATAAACAGGGAGGGGCTACTGAGAGCTCTGATTTAGGCTGGCAAGTCCCCATTGCCTGGGTGACCCAAGCAGGACTGCAGCTGTACAATCATGCTTTTAGTAGCCTGCCTGAAAATCTCCTTTCTTGCCTTTGGGGAGTTCTCAGAACATAATGTCACTCCATCCAGTGCTCTGTGGCTCCTCCAAATCTTGAAGCGGTAGGGACTTTGTTCCCACACCATGCAAATCCAAGTGGACACTGGATGCCAGGCTTTAGGATTTGCCAAGGGATCTGCCCTATGTTAGGCAGTAGTTCAAGGAGTTTCCCTTTCCTTCTTCTGCTTTTCCTTGCTCTCTGCTGCCTGCAAGGCAACTGCTATTCCCTGCTACTCTTGCTTTATTGAATTCCTTCCTTACCTAACACTCATCAGACCTGCTGGAGAATTCTTGCTCGTTCAGAAACAAGAGCCCTCTCCCATCCAGGTTGAGGTTTCTCCTTGTGCTTCACCTAGTGCACAGAGAGATGCTTCCCCAGACAGCACCACTGTCAACCAGCACATCCCAGAACCTGATTCTTGGTTCTGGATCCCCAGGGATGCAGTTGTCAGTGAAGGGGTAATGCGACCCTGGAGAGACTCATTAAAGGCTCAGTCTGATTAAAGCACATGCCAAACTACAGCAAACACCAGAATTCTGATTTATTAGTTTGCAATGAAAAATAGGTCTGTCACATGGCATAGAAAGCTCTATTAGCATGATGAAGATATCATTTGGGAAATCAAATCGCCAACAGATTACTGTAGTGGGTATAAAGCAGAGAAAGCCAACTTTGGCTCATTTGGGGATAAAGATTGCTGCACTAATTTAATAAATATTTTTGAGAGCTTACTCTATGCTGGTTATGGGCTGAATTGTGTCTCCCCAAAACTTGTACATTGAAGTCCTAACCCCCGAGAACTCTGAGTGTGACTGTATTTGGAGGGATAGGGCCTTTAAAGAGGGGGTTAGGTTAAAATGGGGTTGTTAGGGTGGGCCCTAATTCAGTGTGACTGGTGTCCTTATGAGAAGGGAAATTTGGACACAGACACTCTTGGAGGAAAGACCCTGTGAGGACACAGGGAGATGACAGCTGTCTACGAGCCCAGGAGAGCGGCCTTAGAAGGAACCAATCCTGCCAGCACTCTGATCTTGGACATCGAGCCTCCGGAGCTGTGAGAGAGTAAGTTCTGTTGCTTAGGCCCTGCAGTCTGTGAAACTTTGTGATGGAGCCTGAGCAGCTCACTGCAATGCCAGCCAGTGGTGCAGACGCTGTGGTGGGGGCTGGGTAACACCCTCATGAAGGTGCCGTTCTCAAGAGGGAGAAATGAGCCCCAAACCAGTAAACCTCTCTGGGAAGGTGACCCATGGGCTGAGACCAGAAAAATGCGAATGAGCCAGGGGACAAATATTCCAGGAGGAAAGCGTTGCAAGGGCAAAGGCCCTGGAGCTGCAAGGTTCTGGGTAAGGTCAAGGGGGAGGAAGGAAGCAGGTAGGGCTGAACAGGGGGTGAGGGGCCTGGGAAGGAGGTCACAGGGGCCGAGGGCCAGGACACACGAAGCTAATGAGCCAGTGGATGGAGTTTGGATTTTCTGTTCTGAGCAATGAGAAGTCACTGGAAGGTTTGAAGCAGGGCAGTGACATGATCAGCTCTACACACTTAAAAGACCACCCTGGCTGCCTTGGGGTTACTGCAGTAGTCCAGGCTGGCAATGATGGTGGCAGAGGAACTAGAGGAGGGTGGAAGGATGTGGGTGCATTTTAGGGGTCTGCCCAAATGACAGGAATTGCCAAGAGATAGAATTTGCAGGGTGTGTGAAAGAGTAGAGTCAAAGCTCTCAAGATTTTGGCAGATGTATAGGTGACATTTTCATTTATCTAAATAAGGGCTTTGGAGGTAGACAGATTTGAGAATGGAGGACAGGGAAATCAAAGGTTCTGTGTGGTATCTCTTTAGCATAGCAATAACTTTGCCAATGGAACCAGAACACCTAAAATCAGTGAGCAAGTCTTCACCCTGAGAACCTCTCTGGGTACTGAGACCAAGTTTTAGATCCTCTCAACTCACACTAGCTTGTACAAAATATATCAGCTAGAAAGACTGGGAAGCTCAGTGGTGTGTGCTTCAGGCATAGCTGGATCCAGTCATACTCTCCTCCACCACCGGCTCTGAGATGCTTTTCTCTGAGCTGATTTAATCCTTAGGCAGGCATTTACCATAGATTTTCCTTCTATTAAAAAACAAAAAGTGAGGGTCAGTGACAGTCCCAGGAATGACCCTGATTCACTTGGCCTGGGTCACATGAACTCTGAAAGAACCACCGCATCCTTGGGTTTGAATGCTTTGAATGCTCGTTGGCTAAGTTCAGGATGCATGTCTACAGGGAGGGAGGTAAAGTTATCTCCACCTAAACTCACAGAGCCTGAAGGTAGGAAAGAGATGACTCCCCTAAAGAAAGTGATTCAGAGCAGATGAAAACAATAGCAGGTGATTGTGACCACATGACTTGGATAAAGGTGGACTTTGTTTTGTTTCAGTCCAGTGGTCCCACCCATTTCCAAGCAATGACTGACACGGACCTGTTGACACGGACCTGTTTCTCAGGCTGACCAGTTTCCTCCAGCCGGTGGTCTCACAGCTTAACCTTGAGGGTCAATTTTATTTCCCTTACTCCTATATTCTAGAAGAAGGTCTCACTGAAACTCCAGGGAACTAAGGTATATATAAATGAAGATCTGGCCCAAAGCAAGGCACATAGTAGGCCCTCCATAGAAGGCAGTATTATTATAATCATTTATCTGACAAGTGTCTACTGACTTCCTGTCAATGCAAGATGCTGCCCTGGGTACTTGGAATTTGCATTCTCAGTTTGAGCGTCAGCTGGGAGTCAGCCATATCGAGGCACATCTGGCAAATGATGGCTCACACCTGCACGTGTTCTTTCTGTGGGGATCAGGGAGCCTCCTCACAGAGAACAAAAGCTGGTTGAGGAGAGGCAGGCACCAAGAGCTTGACCAGTACTAAAACACTGTTCCTCAGAAGGGAGGTCTCCCCCTGGGTTTGTCTCTGTGCCCAGGCCCGGGACTGATGCCCGAATGCTCTGGAGAGTGGGAATGTAAATGAGCTGTTCAGCGAGGATCCCTGCAGGGCTCTGGGACAACACAGTCCTCTGCCAGGGCCTCTCTTGGAGCAAAGAGCAGCCAGCATTGTCCCCTGTTGGCCTGGCTACAGCCCAGCTCTGGCACACAGGAGCTCTTGCCTGTTGTAAGAGGTATGGCAGCCCTGGGAAATGACAACGCTTCCAGCTGAAAACACAGGCTTTAAATCCCTTTGCTGAAAACCCATTTGCTGACAGCTGATTTATTTAAAGCCAGTCACCAAATGACCAAGTTTATGAATTACTGAGGAGTTTTTATGAAGTTCTAGTTTCACTCGGCACCTGTGCCCGCCCTGGTCTCCGCTTACATGTGAGGGTGCTGATGCTGAGGGCAGGGAAAGGGCATGCTCTAAATGTGGGCTACTGTAACTTATATTTTTGTGGACTTCCATCCTGCCTTTTCTCCCAAATCTGTCCAGTCCCTGCTTCTTATCCAGTCCTTCCTGCACTATTTTGGCTCAGATGGGTATGTTTTCCCTTAAAAGTAATTTAATGTTATCTGTAATTTTGGAGACATGTGCTTTACTCTCCTGCACCAGTTAGGATTGCTGCAGACTGCAAGCCACAGAAAACCTAACTAACAGGTTAGGACTGATTTTTCCCATGTAACAGGAAGTCTGAAGGGACCAGTGCAGAGCTAATGTTCCTTCATAGTCCTTAATGCACTATCATTGGCTTCAGTCCTGATGTGGAGAGATGGCTGCTGCACCCCCAACCATCACATCTACATTCCAGGAAGGACTCAGGGGATGGGATAAAGGGAAAAAGGATCCTCCTGGTGGGGGAGCAGAGCATCATGTTTCTAATGTCTATTTTTAAAACTGGCATCAATGCATTGCAAATTGACATCAGTACAAATTTAATTCTACTTAGCAGCCACTTGTAAGACACTCCAGCTGGGCTGCCTGAATGCCAAAGGAAGAAAAGGGCCACTTGGGTATTTTCTAAGAGCCCCAGATGGACTCTTAGGAGCCGTTAGCACTTCTGGAGAAGGAGCTCAGGAAAGCTGTAAAAATCATTCACCACAATCTGGATTTTGTTGTTTTTTGAAAATCAGTTGGTTTACAGTTTGGAAGCAATTTCATTAAATCATCACAAGCCTCACAAGACTGGTACAGGCAGAAATTTAGATAATTCTTTAGAGAGAAAATAGTCTATGTCCAGTATATTATAATATAATAGCTATTATATTAGGAATAGGGAGAAAAGATAGTTTTAAAACCAAACAGAATTTCTTCTTAATTAGCTATGGCACCCTAATTTTTTTAACCTGGAAATTGGGAACATCAGATCCATATGTAGAAAGCATTCATTCCTTTGACTCATCAATATCTGGTTCTCCTCTACTTCTGAGCACTCGCAGGGATTGCAGTTCCTTGCTTTCTTGAAGTTGGGCATGGCCGCAGGACTTATTTTGATCAATGAAATGTGAGTGGAAGCATCCCATGTTACTTCTAAGTGGCAGTATTTCATATTGCGTCAGAGTCTCATTGCTCAATTTCCCTGAGCAATTGTGAAATGTGTTGATATGGAGGGTCCACATGATCAAAGCAGCCTAGAAAGCTGGGCTGACACGTAGAGAGTTGCTCAGACCCAAAGCC